CAGGAAAGGGAAAATTGGCCTCTGCAGGGTGCTTGACATGGTCAGAGTTACCGTGAGAGGGAGGCACAGTTAGCCATAGGAGGGGGCATAGGCTTTCCAGGGTCACTGGAGACTGTAAACAATTTGCAGTTCAGAAAGATTGTTATCTGCAGATCAAAGGCGGGACTAGTGAGAGCTTGGGCAAGGAACCAGCTTAGCGGATGATGGGAGTGCATCCAACCACCTACTCTGAACCCCTGCTGTGCCAGACCCACAGCTAGAACAAATCCTCTGAAGTAAGGGCCAGTTGGGGAACCTTTGGCTTTTCTTCCTACCCCCAAAACACCTTTCAAGTACCCAAGGAAAGGGGCAACAATGGGACCTCCTGTTCTCTGTAAGTATGCAGGACAGCCCCTAAGGGTCACAGGGGACCTGACAGGTAGAAACAAGTGGCAAGGATGTCTGCTGAAAATCTGAGGGCTACTGCCTTCTTTATTCCCTGTCCTGCCTGCTGTCCCATCTAAGGGGTGGTTTTATCTTCTTTTCATAACTGAGAGAAGCAAGCCTTGAGGCTTGAGTCCTATTCTTCCAACTCCCCAGCCTTTTAAAGAACAGTTGGCTAAAAACAATGGGAATATAACTTTTTCCAAAAACAATTTTAGCAACTTTGCCCTTTATAGTTGTCTAGAACTGTTTCAACCACTGTACGAGGTGATTGTGGAAAACAACTTCACTTCCTTCCTTCCTTCCCCTCTCCTCCCCCTTTCCTTTCCTCCTCCCTTCCCCTTCCCTTCCTTCCTTCCTCTCCTTTCCTTTCTTTTTTTGCCAGTCCTGGGGCTTGACCTCAGGGCCCATGCACTCTCCCTGAGCTTCTTTTACTCGCGGCTAAAAGTCTACCACTGGAGCCACAACGTCACTTCTGGCTTTCTCTGTGTATGTGGTACTGAGGAATCAAACTCAGGACGTCATGCATGCTAGGCAAGCACTCTACCGCCAAGCCACATTCCTAGTCCATCACTTTTATTGCTTTTGTCATAAGAGCAAGCTTATTTCCCTTTTATGACCCTTCTTGTTATACAGAGGAGGAAATTGAGGACACAAAGAGGTTAACTGCCCAAGGTACACAGTGGGTGGCAGAGAGCCCAGTTAGCACATGGACAGACCATTCCAGAGTCTGAACTCCACATGGTCACGCATAGGTCAGCTGGAGGAGGGGAAAAGTATCTTCCTGTTTTTTGTGTTGTGGACCCAGTAAAAAGCCACATGGGACAGGTGGAGGGTGTGAACTCAGATGAACAGGTAAAAGTAGAGGAAAGAGAACCAATGATGACATATTTAGGAAATATATATTCTGGCTGACTTTAGAACAAATAGGGCAAGACAGAGTATAGGATGAGAGAGATACCTGAGATAGTCCTGGATGCCCAAAGAGGTCTTCCTGGGGCATTTCCATGAGCTACTGTGGGGGTGGGGGTGGATGGCTGTGCGAATGGCTATAAGGAGGGGGAGACTACAGATGAGATTCAGATAGGTACTTCTAACTTGAAACATGCTAGGCATAACTGACATACCTATACTGTATGTATGTATGTATGCATGCATGTATGTATGCATGCATACATGCAGTTCCTCTAGCCTTTGCTATTCTCTTACAGAAAGATTAAGAATCCTTAGCTGGGCACGGGTGGCTCACACCTGCAATCCTAGCTACTCAGAGGCTGAGATCTGAGAATCGCAGTTCAAAACCAGCCCTGGCAAAAAAAAAAAAAAAAAAAAAAAAGGCCCTGTGAGATTTGAGATTTACCTCCAATGAACTACCAGAAAACCAGAAGTGGCACTGTGGCTCAAAGTGGCAGAACCCCAGCCTTGAGAAAAAGAGTTCAGAGACAGCACCCAGGCCCTGAATTCAAGCCCCATGACAGACCAAATTAAAAAAAAAAAAATTCCTTGAATGTGTCAGACTTCAGAACCTTTGGGAATGAAGAATAGGGATACAGATCTCAGAGGAGCCAAGAAGCCTGTGTATGTGATTGTGTGAATGTGGGTGTGTATTGTTGCTGGAGGTCAAACTCAGGTTTTTGGACATGATAAGGAAGCATTCTGCACCCAGCTACATCTCCAGCTCTAAATAACTGTGAGAAATGAGAAAGGATTAAAAAAAAAAAAGCATGTTACCACTGAAATCTGAGATAGAAAAGGAGATTAAGTAAACAGGATTGTAGCCAACATACTAAGGAAGCAAAATCAGAGCAAGGGGTTTTAGTGACTAGGCTTTAAAAAACAATGTGGGCTTCACAAGGTGCTTAGAATAGTGTTTACAATTTTAAGATTGACAATCTTTTCTTTTTATTTGGCGATTGAAGGGCTTCAACTCAAGGCTGGGGTGCTATCCCTGAGCTCTTTTTTTTTTTTTTTTTTGCCGGATGTGGGGCCTGAACTCTGGGCCTGGGCACTGTCCTTCAGCTCTTCAGCTCACGGCTAGTGCTCTACTACTTGAGCCACAGCGCCACTTCCGGCTTTTTCTGATTACGTGGTGCTGAGGAATTGAACTCAGGGCCTCATGCATACAAGCAAGGCAAGCACTCTACCACTGAGCCACCTTCCCACCCCCTCCCTGAGCTCTTTTGCTTAAGGCTAGTGCTCTACCACTTTAAGCCACAGTTCTACTTCTAGTTTTCTGGTGGCTAATTAGAGATGAGTCTCTCATATTTTCCTGCCCAGAATGACTTTGAGCTGTGAGTCTTAGATCTCAAACTCCTGAGTAGCTAGGATTACAGGTGTAAGCCACCAGTGCCCAGCAATCTTTTTTCTTTCTTTCTTTCTTTTTTTTTGTTTTAACACAACACTCAGTCGTGAGGGTTGATGGCAGTATGGTCTCATGCCTCATATGGCATCTCTCCTGCAACAAAGGGAAGCAGGAACTGAACCTGAGTTTTAAGGGTGATTAGAATCTGCAAGAAAGAGAAGGGAAAAGTAAAGTTGCTATGCAGGGAGAATAACTGAAGTTCTTCAGGATGTGTCTTTACTAAGGAAAAAAAAAAAAAAAAAAAAGCTGCAGCACAGCACACTCTAGTGTTTCAGAGAAGCACTGCAGCTTTACCTATAGTCCAAAAACAGAGATTACAGTACAATAGTAACTTCTGGTGGACCTAGGGCTTATTTGCACTTGACTGTTTCTCTGAGCTTGAATCTTACCGCCCCAATGTTCCCAAATGGCAAGTCCACACTTGACTGATCTGGAGAATTGTCTATTAATGTCATAGGGTGGGTTGGGGGGATAGGGGACACCCGTGGTTCATGCCTGTAATTAAGCCTAGCTACTCAGAAGGCTGAGATCTCAGGATCTTGGTTTGAAGCCAACCCAGGCAAAAATGTCTATCAGACTCCTATCTCCAATTAATCACCAGAAGGCCAAAAGTGGAGCTGTGGCTCAAGTGGTGGAGTATTAGACTGGAGCACAAAAGCTCAGACACAGCACTCATGTTGATTGAGTTCAAGCTCCAGAACCAGCATACAAACAAATCATAATACTAATGAGTATGTGTTTTTATGCTGTGAGCAGCCTGTAAAAGCATTTAGGGAAGCTTTGAGCAGTATCTCCTCTGAGACTACTCTGTATGGGGCCTACCTATCAATCTGACCTGACTGAGACAGTTCTTTATATCACCTGAAGGACAAGAGAGTCCACTGTGAGCGTGTACTAGGATACAGTGGAAGCCTAAGTATGGAAGTCAGACACACATGGGTTGAGCCCTAGTTAATCCATGATATGATCTTAGCCAAATTATGTAACTTCTCAGCCTTGGGTCTCTTATCTACAAATTACAAACTGTGGACTGTTGGCCCAGCGCAGGCATTGTAAACACTATATTTTCCTTTGATTCTTGTGCCCTCAAAGTACTAATAATACCGGCTGGGAAGGTGGCTCAGTGGTAGAGTGCTTGCCTTGTATGCATGAGGCCCTGGGTTCGATTCCTCAGCACCACATAAGCAGAAAAAGCCAGAAGTGGCACTTGTGGCTCAAGTGGTAGAGCACTAGCCGTGAGCTGAAGAGCTGAGGGAGAGCGCCCAGGCCCAGAGTTCAGGCCCCACAACTGGCAAAAAAAACCACTAATAATAGGAACACTTGGATTTTGTCACTCAATGTCCCTCCTATCACTAGGACCTTCTTATCTTGGTATTGGAGAGAAAGAGTTTGGTAGGCCAATTCTGCTCTATTTGTGATGAATACCAGAATAGACCAGACTGCTTTTTGCACCTTTGAGAGTGGCCAAAATGTGCATTGACAAGGACCCCTAAAACTATCCGGGAGATTTGTAACAGATATTCTCTGATAGAACAAGAAAGTAGAAGCACAGATACTTTCCCAGCTGCCTAGAGATTACACACAGCCCTCCTGCACCTACCAGAAACTCCTTGAATCCTTTCTCTGTAAGAGTAGGCTAGAACAAACAAACTGGCATGTAAGAACATGTTTTTTCAGGATGGAAGGATCTGGTAAGGAAAGCAGATGTGGAGACCTAGAGGCCGACCAAACATCCCTTCTCCTGATTATCATCTAAACAGCCTTTTTCTTGGTCCTGGGCAAGTTGCACTAGTGGGCTGGATGAAGTTGATAGCCCAGGCCCAGAGTTCAGGCCCCATGACCAGACCCCTCCCAAAAAAAAAGAAGAAAAGGGCAGGCACCTGTAGCTCAACCTGTAATCCTAGCTACTCAGAAGGCTAAGATCTGAGGATCATGGTTCAAAGGCAGCCCAGGCAGGAAAAGCCATGAGACTCTTAGCTCCAATTAATCACAGAAAATGCCAAAAGTGACTCTTTGGCTCAAAAAGAGCTCAGGGACAGAGCCCAAGCCCCAGGACCTGTAAAAAATAAATAAATAAAATTTACTCACTATCTGACTTATGAAATAACAACCCCTCTGTACAACAATAAAATTATTTTAAAATAAGAAATACTCATTAGTTACAAAGCTAAGTTATTGTGCATGCTAACCAACTTTTTGTGTTTTATTTTTTTAGGAGAATTATCCAGTTCCTGAACCAGGCCCAAATGGTAGGTTCTTAGGAAACTGAACTGCTAGTTTGTTTTATATTGTTTAGTTGAAGAGATTACTTTTGTGTAACTGTGTGACTGTGGCAAAAATACCAGTGGAAGAAAGGAATTATTTTGGCTCATGATTTTCAGATGTTTTAGTCCATAGTCCATGTCTCCCTTGATTTTGGGCCTATGTGAGGCAGAAAGAATCATGGCAGCAGGAATGTGGAAGAGGAGAGTGCTTACCTCCTGGTGGACAGGAAGCAGAGGAACTGGGGACCAGATATAGCCTTCAAAATCTGTTTCCAGAACTCCCCAAATTAGGGCCACCATCTGAGGACAAAGCTCCCCAACATATGAGCCTTTTTGGAGGACACATCATACCTAAACCATAACACACAGCATATTGCTCCCTGAACCCTCTTCACCAATCTCTTTTTTCTTTTCGCTCCATTTAAAAAGAAATAAGCAAAGTATGCTTCAGGCTAAGGACCAAGTCCATTCTCCACAAGACTCATCTGTGTGGGCTGCTCTGTGAGAGAGTGGCAGACCCAGGGCTGGTCCCTGGAGTCACAGCATTTGCTAGGGAAAGAGGATTATGACTTTTAGGTAAGCCTGAGACACACTGAGCTCTATATACTGGTAACTGTGGTAGGGCTTACTCAACATGTTGAAAGCTGAACTTGATCCCTAACACCACAAAACAAAAAGAATCAGAAAAATTCTTTCAGACTGTAGACTAGTCCCAGAGGTTTTTTGTTGTTATTTTGTGTTTGTGTGTGTGTCTTTTGCCAATCCTGGGGCTTGAACTCAGGACACTGTTCCTGAGCTATTCTTTAGCTCAAGGATAGCACTCTACCACTTGAGCCATAGTGCCACTTCCAGCATTTTCTGTGTATGTGGTACTGAGAAATCAAGCCCAGGGCTTCATGCATGGTTGGCAAGCACTCTACCGCTAAGCCATATTCCCAGCCCGCTAAGTTTTTGATGTAAAGTATCCCTAGTCTTTCCTTTCCTCTCCTCCTTTCCCCCTCTTCTTCTCCTTTTTTTTTTTTTTTTTAATTTCTTTTGGGTATAGGGTATTTTTGAGTGCCCCATGCCTCTTTTTTTCTTTTGCCGGTTGTGGGGCTTGAACTCTGGGCCTGGGCGCTGTCCCTCAGCTCTTCAGTTCAAGGTGAGCGCTCTAGCACTTGAGCCACAGTGCCACTTCCGGTTTCCTAGTGGTTTATTGGAGATAAGAGTCTCCCAGACTTTCCTGCCTGGGGTTGGCTTTGAACTGTGATCCTCAGATCTCAGCCTCCTGAGTAGCTAGGATTACAGGCATGAGCCACCAATGCCCAGCTGCCCCATGCCTCTTAAGTGTTGATTACAGACATGTACTGCCAAGCCCAGCAGAACTATCCTCATTTGACCTAACAAATGAGGATCATGTTTGAGTTTGTAAATCATGTCCTAATCCTAATACCAAAATAGAGTGAATCTCCAGAATTTAATCTTTCAATTAGCAAAGGGAGCACCAGGACAGCGTAACCTAGGACAGCCAGTTTCCAACAAGTAGAACAGCCCGAGACTTTCTTTCTAGGAGCCTTGCCCCCTGCTCTAATCAACCAACACTAAAGGTGAGGAGCACACCAGCGCCGGGCCCCTGACACCTTGGCTCCACTACTTCCAGGCCTGTCACTGGGCGAGCCCATGGGGCCTAGCAGACATGCATGTAGGTTTTCTGGAGTGGCGGGTGACAGGTCTGTATCTGGGGACAATACCACCACCCCGCTGGCTAGGGCAGATCCTTGCTGGTGGTTCCTAATCCCCCCCCCCCCATCCCTGGAATCCCACTTCTAGTCTGTTGGAATCAGCCAGAGGCTGGAGACAACTGGCAAAGTATCTATGAACAGTTCAAACTCAGCCACTCAGGTCCCCCTCCTTGTCCTTGATGAGTTGGGATGATGTCCACCCTCACCCTGCCACACCTCAGTCCACAACCTGAGCATCTGTGAGAATATCATCAGATTGAAGGCTGCCTTCGCTTTGATAATCAAAGGTCAGTTGAGTTATTGACTTAAAGTGATAAGACACTGAAAACAACCCTTTTTATCAATGTTTGGCAAGCAATGTGTACTTAGGATTTAAGACTTTTTCACAGAAACAACATGTTCAGGGAAGTAAGTGACTGATGGAGAAAACTCAGTGTCATGAACAATCAGGGGTGTTGATCCCAGAGGTGGCCAAACAAAGGCTATCTTGGATTCCAAAGGATCCTCCCCCCCCCCCCCCCCCCCCCCCCCCCCGCAACACCTTTACTGAGACTGAGACTGCAGTGTTGTGCTCTCCTTTGCTTGTCTTATCATGCTTGAATTGGGAGGGAGAAAATTATATGTCAGCTATCATTCTCTAGCAAGTTTGATTTCATCTCTTGGGTATACACTGGTAACTGGAAAGAAAATTCTGAGGCAGATTTCCTAATTCCAAGATTTTTCCCTACCTTTGCTCTCACAATTTGCTCTGCCAGTTCTTACACTGGTCACCAAAGCCAAGAACAAAGGGAAGTTTTCCAGAACCACACCTGGCACATACATCTAATCATAGCAGACCTACTGCGTTGCTCTTTTTTCCCAGAGAACTAATTGTAACATGGTCATCTTGGTCTGATTAAGATTACAATCCTTCATACTTCTTTCTGCTGAGCAGCTCAGTGGCATCAGGAACAATATCACAAGGTCTCATGTTTTTTAGCCCTTGGGAGGGAAATGCCAGTTGATATCTGACTGCTTTAAATAAATGCACATCTTTTTATTTTAAAATTTTTATTCAGGCTCATTTACCCTCATTAGCCCAACCCCTCCCACTTATACCTATTCCCAACAGAGCTTGTTTCTTTATCCCTTCCTCTGTAACTTTATCAATCAGCACTTTTCATTGAGATTATTCTGGTTTTAATATCTAGCTTGAATGTATTTCAAATCTGTTCACATACTATCCCTATTTTAATTGCTATTCCAGGCCTCCTGAGTCTGTTTACTGTTCCTTTCCTCTCTTTTTTTTTTTTTTTTTCCAGTCCTGGGGCTTGAACTCAGGACCTGGGCACTGACCCTGAGCTTCTTTTTGCTCAAGGCTAGCACTCTACCACTTGAGCCACAGTGTCACTTTGAGCTTTTTCTGTTTATGTGGTACTGAGGAATTGAACCCAGGGCTTCATGCATACTAGGTAAGCACTCTACCACTGAGCCACGTTCCCAGCATCCTTTCCTCTTTTTTTTTTTTCCAGTACTGAGGAACCCAAGGTTTATCATGAATTAGAGGTCTACCACTGAACTATATCTCTAGCCCTGCTTGATTTTCTTAACTATATAACTTGTTCCATAAAATCAGTTGAGAGAGCTGGAAATTTGGCGTAGTGACAGAATGCTCACTTAGTATGCATGAAGCCCTGAGTTCGATTCCTCAGTACCATATCACCAGAAAAAAACAGAAGTGGCACTGTGGCTCAAGTGTTAAGAGTGCTAGCCTTAAGCAAAAGAGTGCTCAGGGACAGTGCCCAGGCCCTGAGTTCAAGCCCTGTGACTGAAAAAAATTCAGTTGAGATTCCTGCAAGTAATTTTTGCTGAATCAAGACAGAAGTTCTAGAGACAAATAAATTGGTTCTCAAAAAATAAGCTGAAATCTGAAGTATACATCTGTTTCCAGTTAAGTGTTACCTGGAGACCATCTACTGTACAATTCATCAATCTCCATATTGAATAGCTTTCCTAGAATAAGGTTTGTTTAATGAACATCTTCTCACAGTTTTTTAGCATAAAGAGTCAGAGATATAGTCATAAAACGAAACAAGACAGTGCATGTTGGTTTGGGGCTAAAAGCCCATACTCTTTTATGTGGTAGTACGAGGATCTTGAAAATAAGATAATAACTAACTAAAAGTATCATCAGAACACTAAATGGTTTAGGGCATGTAGTGTTCATACAGCTGCTGCTACATTAATTTTCTTTCCTATTTTTCCATTTATAACAGCAGACACTGTTTTCTTCTTTACTTTTGGCCTATAATAAAATTACCTGAATACATCTATTTCCTTCTTCTTCTTCTTTTTTTTTTTTGTCAGTCATGGGGCTTGAACCCTGGGCCTGGGTGCTGTCCCTGTGCTCTTCAGCTCAAGGTGAGCACTCTACTGCTTGAGCTACAATGCCACTTCTGGTTTTCTAATAGTTTATTGGAGCTAAGAGTCTCACAGACTTTCCTGCCCAGGCTGGCTTTAGGGAACCATGATCCTCAGATCTCAGCCTCCTGAGTAGCTAGGATTAAAGGAGTGAGCCACCGGTGCCCAGCTTATTTCCTATTTTTTTTTTGTTGGTCGTGGGGCCTGAACTCTGGGCCTGGGCACTGTCCCTCAGCTCTTCAGCTGAAGGCTAGCGTTCTACCGCTTGAGCCTCAGCCCCACTTCCGTTTTTTTCTGCTTATGTGGTGCTGAGGAATCGAACCCAGGGCCTCAGGCATGCAAGGCAAGCGCTCTACCACTGAGCCACCTTCCCAGGCTCACCACATAAGCAAAAAGAAAAAAGCTGGAAGTGGTGCTGTGGCTCAAGAGGTACAGCGCTAGCCTTGAGCTAAAGAGCTGAGGGACAGCGCCCAGGCCCAGTTCCCACGACCAGACCCCCCTCCCCCCCAAAAAAAAGAAAAAAAAAGTTATACAAAAAACAGGAAAGTCAGTTATCATTTTTAATTTTGAGACAAGGTCTTCAATCAATGGAATTTGACAGTGAAGTTGCAACACAGAAGTCTATCTGTGCAAAGAAATTGTGATACAAGGATTTATATCCTGCTAAATTGACTCAGAGGATAAAGGTTATAGACAAAGAGTCTCATTTGTTCTTTGCTTTTTCCAACTTGACTGGCACTCTTATCACTTGAGCCACATGTCCACTTCTGACCTAGTAAGACAGGTGCCCAGCTCATGAAATGCTATGATAGAAGTGACATTCTATTACCTTTAATGTATTCCATGGTAGCACTCATACAGGCTCTCTCCACTGAACAATGATGGAAACACAGGGAATGGACCATAGGTCCTGGTCACAGGTCCACCAGAGATTTTTAAAGAACTTCTTGCTGGAAAACCACCTTTTCTTATTGTGATGGTGGCTGAATTCAGATTTGCTGGCATGCTAAGTGTGTGTTCTACACTGAGCTACATCCCACACTCCATCACCTTAAGTAGTAGGAAACTAAGGCAAGTAATTAAGAACTGTGGTTGCTGAGAAGGGTCAGGTGTAGAGTTGGCAGGTTACCCAGCTGAAGCAGAGGGATGGCTGCTTAAATGATGCCAACATTTGTAATATAGTTCTGTCCAACTCAAGTACAGATCTTCAGTTGAGGTAGTAGTCTTCAAACACCAACTCTATTTGAGGGATCTGGACACATTTCCCCAAAAGGAAAAAATCCATGCCACCAAGAATGCTACGTGGCCAGAGGACAGCAGTCACTGGAGACCACTGTGGTGTACTTTAAATGACTCAGGATGTTAATATCAAAATATAATAACTAAGTATAGATATGCCAATTTGAATAGTAAATAACATAGTATCTACAACAAAGAAACACCAATATGATTAAATCCATGACTTCATAGTATTACCTAACACAAGCTTAATTGGTCATAGTTAGTATATAATAGTATACTCATTCATTGATTCAAAACTTGAAGATTAAGTGAGAAGAAAAAAATCCACCATTGATCATAGATCATGTATGTCTATAGTACCACTGGCATACCAAAAAGCTAGTGGAGGCATTTTCTTTATAGAAAAAAAAAAGCACGAAGAAATTGGCCTGATAGCTCAGCATATGCTGGCAACAAAAGTGCCACATTTGTTCTCATGAATCAGGTACAGTGTAGTAATTTTCTGGAAACAGTTATCTCTTGAAGTACTGTTTGTTTGCCTAAGTGGTTGGTATATTGCTTCCTCCTAATATTTCCTTTACACCATGACTGGCTAGAACTCTTCAGACAAAAAGAACAAATAAGATCTGTGTGTATGTATATGTATGTGCATACACAGAGACAGGCAGGGGGCAAGGGAGAGAAGGGAAGTTTATTTTAAACAATTGGCTCCTATGATTACGGGAGATTGTAAGGTTTGAGGTTTGCATGCCAGAGCAGCAGGAAGAATCAATCCCATCTTTCCAGAAATCTCTCTCTTTCCTTTTAAGCCTTCACCTGATTGGATCTTGTTCACTTATTTTATATAGAATAATCTGGTCTCAAAATCTGATTTAGCCAAGTGTGGTAGTGGATACTACCTATGAGGGAAATGGAAATGAAAAGATTGCTGTTTGTGGCCAGCCTGGGCAAACAAATAGAGACTCTATCTCAAAAAGCCAGCTAGGAGTCTTGGCTCCTATTCACTGTAGTCTAAGGGTGGCCTCAGGCAAAAATTGCCAAACCTTATCAGAGAAATTAAACTAAACAGGGATGGCTAAAGTAGTAGAGTGCTTACCTAGCAAGCACAACGCTCTGAGTTCAAATCTGAATAGCTCTCTCTCTCTCTCTCTCTCTCTCTCTCTCTCACACACACACACACACACACACACACACACACACACACACACACACACACAAATGTACTGACTTAACTGCTAATCATACCTTAAAAAATGGCTTCAAAACAACATCTACACTGGCACTTGCCTAAACTAACTGTTCAGCACAGCCTGATCAAATTGACACATAAAGTTACCTACCCATCACTGGTCAAGGAAGCAGTTCTGCCTTAATACTCTTAACTTGTTTTTACTCCAGGGTCTGAATTTGACCTGGAGATTTCCAAAGGGAAATCGCTGGGCCTCTTCAGTGACAGCAGTGGCTCCTTCCCTTACTAGTTTCCCCCTTTCCTGTCTCCATCAGAGGTACTGTTGAAGATGCACTCAGTTGGAATTTGCGGCTCAGATGTCCACTACTGGCAGCACGGTCGAATCGGGGATTTCATTGTGAAAAAGCCAATGGTGCTGGGGCATGAAGCTGCAGGAACAGTCATAAAAGTGGGATCATCGGTGAAGCACCTCAAACCAGGTCAGCAAGGTCCTTCAGTTAAGGCATGGGTAATCATTTCACCTAAGTGTTTGTAGATGCTCTCCCTGGACCAGGCCCTGTTAAACACTGGTGTACGACAATGAATACAATGGTGCTGGCCCCTGCATGTATTCATCTGACCTTCCACAGGGGACGCAGATGGGACAGACAGGTAGTAAGGCACAGGTGGTGTTAAGGGCAGAGGAAAAGAATGCTAGCAGTGTTGGCAAGTCTTATCTAGACTTTAGTTCCTTTTATGAGAAACTTTATCTCCACTGCCTGGAGATTAAGCAGGTAGGGAAATGTTGCTACCTCAACTGGAGAAGAGGCATTGCCTGAAATACAGCTTTCAATATGAACAGGAGCCACAAAATGCCTCAACAGGCTAGGAACTAAGGCCTTAAATGCAATCCTCCATTCTTATTGGAGTCTGGGCAAATGGCTGTATTTCCCCCTAGATCGGCTTAATTTATTTTCCAGAGGGAAGAATCCTCAGCTTTGGGCAGTTATCCCTGACCCCATGAATTACAGCCCAGCTGCCTCGGCATAGCTAGCTGTGGGCTAGTTTTACTTTGTTAACAAGAGAGGCCTGTTCAGGCCTGGACAGAGGATGTCAGCTAACTTGAAAGAAGAGGGAGGGTAGCAGGAGGGGTGCAATCTTGTGTTAGTCATAACTCAAGAGCCCCAAGCCACATTAGCTCAAAAGACATTAAGCACATATCTCACTTAAGATTTTTTTTGATGGATTCTTTTAATTGTAAAGATACTGTACAGAGGGGTTGGTTACACTTAAAATTTTAACTCTAGGATTCCAGCCATCATTAGTGATCATTGGAAAAGCATCTGTGCTGTCACAGGGTTGTTCCAGAGCCAAAAGTTCCTATCGTCCAATAACCACTTATGATTGAGTCTTACTTGTGAGACCATGTTTCCAAATACTGGGTTATCTAAATGTAAGTTCTAATAAATGCTTAGTATCATGAATTCAATCCTGGGCACCAGGTGTGAGCCTGTAATCCTAGCTACTCAGGAGGCTGAGATCTGAGGATCAAGGTTCAAAGTCAGCCACAGCCAGACAGTCCTTGAGACTTAATCTCCATTTAATCACCAAAAAGAAGGAAGAAGCTCAAATAGTAGGGCGCTAGCCTTGAGCAAAAAAGCTCAGGGACTGTACCAAGACCTTGAGTTCAAGCCCCAGAACCAGTATTTTAAAAAAAAATGCTACCTGTGGCACATGCCTTAATCCCAATTTAGGAGATGGAGGCAGGCAGGGTGCCAGCGGCTCATGCCTGTAATACTAGCTACTCAGGAGGCTAAGATTTGAGGACCATAGTTCAAAGCCAGCCTGGGCAGGAAAGCCCATGAGACTCTTATTTCAAATTAACCGTTAGAAAATAGAACTGCTAGAAGTGGTGCTGTGCCTTCAAGCAGTGCAGCACTTGCTTAAAGGGGAAAAAAAAGGGTTGGAGGGCTCAAGTGATAGTGTGCTTGTTTAATAACATAAGACCTTGGGCACCATTCCCAGTACTGGGGAGAGGGAAGAGAAGGGAGAGATAGTGTTTTTGTTTTTCTGTTTTTCATCCTGGGGCTTGAACTCTGGGCCTGGGCACTGTCTCTGAGCTTCTTTTGCTCAAGTCTAGCCTTCAACCACTTGAGCCACAGCACCACTTCTGGCTTTTTCTGTTTATGTGGTACTAAGGAGTTGAACCCAGGGCTTCACGCACACCAGGCAAGCACTCCACCACTAAGTTATACTCCCAGCCCCCAATTTTTTTTTTTTTTTTTAAAGAAAAAAGCTCTGCTTCCTTTGCCAAACACAGCAATCCATTTTGGTTTTCCTTTCCAGGTGATCGTGTTGCCATTGAGCCTGGGTCTCCCCGAGAAAATGATTATTTCTGCAAGATCGGGCGGTATAATCTGACCCCATCCATTTTCTTTTGTGCCACTCCCCCTGATGATGGAAATCTGTCCCGATTCTACAAGCATAATGCTGACTTCTGCTACAAGTTAGTATTCACATTCCAGCTGCTGGGACCTCTTTCCTCTTGGTTGTTTCATGATGCTTCTATATCCCAGTGATTTCATCATTTTCAGTTCATGCACATGAAGCACACCCCTAGTGGGCCCGCCTATCTTGGTGGCACAGAGGGAGGGTAGCCTTATGGGGCTAGATTGACTCAGTGGTAGATTTTAATCTAGAAGAATACAAAATTGGTGCCAAGATCTGTCATCCCCTCCAGCCATCCTAGAGAGAACGCATGGTTCCATTTTGGTTTCCACTATAATCCCCAGAAAGCTGTAGTGTGCTGCCATGGTATGAGTCTTGGCATGCTGAATCCACTCTTGCCTTTTCAGTGACTTTAAGGACATGATTGAACCTTCCTCTGCTGTAGTTTCAATTAATCACCAGGAGACTAAATTAGACAATTACTACAGACCTGCCTTTGTATAATACAATAGGGGCTTTGCATGCCGTATAATCACAAGGTGCACGTTATTGTTGCAGTTTCATCCAAGGGCTAAAGGATCCAGACACAGAGCAGATCCAGGACAGGGGTCCACCTCTTATCTGAAATGGCCCTGGGCTGAGAAGCTGTGTCTGAGAGATGCCCCACAATGGAGCTCTGTGGTATTAGTGTGTGGCTCCCTGCTAACCTGACTCAAATTTTCCTTCCACCCCAACCTGGCCCCAGTGATGGCTCTTAGCTGGTATGGGAGCCAGTCACAGGGGCAGTCTGATAGCTTTTATGGGGTGCCCACTAGAAGTCTTGGAAATAATCAACAGACCAGAGACCTTGTGTGTGGTGAATTTAAGTCAACACCTGAGCCTGCTCTGGAGGAAAGCAGTTTTGTGGGCCAATTCCTCCTTCCAGTAGGTGGTTGCTGAATCAACCCATCTTTTTTGGAACCTGTCCAAGTCAAGATACAAACAATAAGCCAGGTGCTGGTGGCTTTGACTGTTAATCCTAGCTACTCAGGAAAGTGAGATGTGAGGACCCTAGTTCTAAGCCAGCCCAAGCATGAGAGTTAACCAACCTGAAAAAAAAAAAGCTGGAAGTAGAGCTGTGGCTCTACTAAGGGACAGGTCCTGAGTTGAAGTCACAAAGAAACAGACATAAACTATTTTCATGGAAGGCAGAAGAACAAGTGGTAAAGTTCAAGGTCAATCATTCATCTCCATCACACACTGTGTATCCCTGAAGGAATGCCTTAAGGTTTGTGACTTCAGTATCCTTGTCTGTGAAGTGGACATAATATTGGCACCTCTGTCACAGAACAGCTGATGAGATTCAATGAGAAACGTGTACCAAGTACTCCATATGAAGCTGGCACAGAGACCTGGTGCACACAGATAAATGGTGCCAACCTGAGTCAGCCATGGTCTTGTCATCCAGCAATGGAGGTACAGATTAGATCTGAGAGGGAAGCCTGGCACTGGCAATTGAGATAGCTGTAGCTTGTGTGTAGGGACTGGTGTAGGGGTGTAACTGGTTGGCAGTGCTCTGGGACAGCAGAGCACCCAAGGATCTCTGGGGGCTATGTAACCCTTGACCTTCCTCTCTGAGGATACTTCCTGCCCCTGCAACTACTGTAGTCCTAGACCTTAGTTCTCTTCTGATACCTGTTTGTGAGGATGCATTCCTACATCACTACTACCTCTTTATTTTCCTACCCTCCTATCTTCTATCTTCCTGCTTCCTTCTCCTTGCTTCTTGGTCATTCTTTCCTCCTTTGTCTGTTTCCTGTGGCGTATTATAAAAAACAACTTGTTTTGTTCTCTGGTGTTCATAAAAACATGAATGGTCAGGGATGGACAGAAGCCTGGAACTCTCTCTTCTCCATTCCCTCTGAACCCCCACTGGACAATGTTGGAGAGAGAGGACCCAGGAATCTAACCCCTGACCGGTGACAGAGGGACCAGCTATAGAACTCCTGTTCATGTATCTGAGGGAAATACTCAGCCTTCATCACCCTGCCATCTCCAATTCCACTTCTCTTTGATGTTCTTTTCCTTTGGGGGGGGGGGGTGTTACTGGATTTTTTTTGAAACTTTTTTTGTGTGAAAATACTGTACAGAGGGGTTAAAATTACATGGGCAAGATAATGAGTACATGTCTTATGTTACTGGATTTTTTTAAGGGAAAGGGTACTTGCTGTTCTTTGGGGAGGGGTACTGGTGTTTATACTCACTCAGTTCCTTGTACCTGCTAGACAGGCAGTTTACCACTTGTGCCAGGCCTGTTGTAATTCTAAGAGGTCAAAGGAAGGACAGAGAAGGAACTGGCTTAGAACCATTGGAGATCTGTGGGAATCCAGACGTGAAGTGGCAGGCTATTGTGTCTAGAGCATGTGGTATGTGTGTGTGTATGTGGGGGGGAAGTTTAAAGAATGAGGGCAAGTTCATTATTTCATTTCCAGTTCTTTCCCCTTCCATGGAATTGATGCCTGTGGAGATGATGTAAGAAAAGTTGAGGGACAAGGAAGAAGTGAGGCTGCTAACCACAGGCTTGGAATTTATTTAGTTGAGGATTGGAAACAGAGACAGGAGGACCACAAGACTTGGGGATGAGCATACGTATGCACTTGGCTAGCTACTCTGTATTTCTTTTGGGAATTTGAAGGATTTTGTGTTCCATCACATGTAGGTTTTGGGGCACTCAGTAAATACTGGACAGCAAGGAACTAACAGAAATGAGATACTACCCACAGAACCAAAAACCAGCTAATGTGGGGTCAGGCAGAAGATACAGAACTAGGACACCTTGGTTCAAGGCCTGGAACTGGCCTTCCAACCTTGGGCCACTTTTAATGTCATTGAGCTTCAGTTTCCTGTTCTGTAAGATAAAGGTAAAAATAAAACCTGTCTTGTCTGCCCAATACTGTTATACTGAGGATTAAATCAGATAATGGGTGAGTAAGTTCTCTAACCTCTAAAGCCTACTGCAAATGTTTACTGTCATCATCAGCGGGATTGAGGATGGGGTTGAGATGCCAGTGAACTCAGAAGTGAAAACCAAGAACCCTGTGGTGAAAGTGACACAGCACTGAGTGAGCTAAGTGGAACAGGCTCTGTTCCCAGTTTAACCAGTCCTGGACAGCCAGGCAGCTGCTGTCACCAGACGTGGCTCCTCTGAAACACAGAGTGGGGGACAAACAACAGATTGACACCTGCTGTTACCTCACCGTGCTTCTGACAGCAAAGAGAATGTGTTCACTGAGAACTCTGAAGTGAGTCTCCAAAGAGAATCATTGCATGAGAGGAGTGTGGCCTGTGTTCTGGAGCCAGACATATATCTAGCTTCGAATTCAAAACCTTTTGAGCCCCTGACTAGTTTTGAATCTTTGGGGCAAGTCCTTTATCCACAAAGCCTCAGTTTCCTCATCAGAAAAGTAGAAATAATGGTATCTATTATAGAAGTGTTCTGAGATGGATATGAGTGAATGTGTCTAAAGTGCTAAGCACATTGTCTTGCCATAAATAAATAATGCTCAGTGTTATTACTATTATGTAATAAGTATGTTATAATTATGTAATAATAATATGCTACAATAATTATGCAATAATTATGTTACAGTAATATACTGTTGTTAGTGTAGTTAAGCCAGAGGATCTAACTGCATGTTGGGTAACTCCTTAGGCTCCCTGACAATGTCACCTTTGAGGAAGGGGCCCTGATTGAGCCCCTCTCTGTGGGGATCTATGCCTGCCGTCGAGGTGGAGTATCCCTGGGGAACAAGATCCTGGTGTGTGGAGCTGGTAAGAAATGGAGGACACTTGGTTATATGGTTGTGGTTTTACTGATTGGGAATGGAGACCCCTCTTCCATGTGACTCCCCCTCCAAATGCTAAGATTCTTTCCAGAATCTTACTCAATGATCAGCACTCTTCTGTGCCCTGGAGGCCTCAGATGAATGCCCGTGACACTGGATTATAGGAAGAGCTGATACTGAATAATCTACAAACATCTTTTTTTTCTTTTTAATGCAGGGCCCATTGGACTGGTTAATCTGATTGTGGCCAAGGCAATGGGAGCAGCTCAAGTCCTGGTAACTGGTATGAAAGTTGGGTTTGTGGGGGTTTTTTTTGTTTGTTTGCTTGCTTTAATCTTGAGATGGAAAGAGCTGCATAAAGTATAATTCAGGGCAGGAGCATGAGACCCATTGCTTTCATTATTAGTCTACTTTCTGTTCCTATAACAAGATACCCAAGGCTGGGTACCTTGAAAGGGGTTTATTTAGCTCACTGTTTCAGAGGCTGAGAGACTGGGCAGCCCCATTGGTTTATCCTTTAGTGAAAGCCCTATGCAGCTGGCAGAAGCACATGCAGAAGGTATCATGTATCTGTTAACTGAACAACCCCTTTGTACAACTACTTTAATTTTTGCTGGGCGCCAGTGGCTCACGCCTGTAATCCTAGCCACTCAGGAGGCTAAGATCTGAGGATCATGGTTCAAAGGCAGCCAGGGCAGGAAAAAATCTGTGAGACTTTTATTTCCAATAAACCACCAGAAAACCAGAAGTGGCGCTGTGGCTCAAGTGGTAGAGCGCTCGCCTTGAGCTAAAGAGCTGAGAGATAGTGCCCAGGCCAGAGTTCAGGCCCCATGACCAAGAACAACAACAATAACAACAAAAGAAAAATCACAAGTTAAGACAAGAAGCCAGAGAACCTTGCACTCTCTGCAAGGTCAGCATTAACCCTTTCATGGGCAGTAACCCTAATGAATCCAATTCCCTTGTATTGGGTCTTTAGGGGTTCCACCATTCTAACACTAGAGGCAAACCTCCAACACTTGCTTATCCTGTAAGGAACAAACCACAGGTACTTGTCAGGGCACTAGGTTCCTTAAGGAGTTCTACCTCTTCTCCTGGATTCTAGGGTTGAAAAGTCTACCCGGGGATGAGTAACTCAGGACTGAGGTTGTGAAGAGAGAGGTAGCAGCTGGGGAGAATAGGATGTGGTCCTTCATGTGTGGACACACAGCCCTTGGACTGTTTGACTATTAGGAGGCAAACAAGATTTGTGTGTGTGGTATGGTAGTGGTGGCAAGCATCATAAATTCGTAAAAATGTAAGGGTGTATGTGCTGTGTACGTATGCACTACGGGATCAAATATGTGTGGAAGTACTGTGTAGTTGTGAAGAGCTGTGGTGTTCACAGGGCCTTGTGCAGATGTAAAGGTGTGTGTGTGTGAGTGTGTCGTGAGGAGAGGACTTTGTGAAGCTGTGTGGCAGTGGGTGAGGTTGCAGAGTGCTTCGGGCTCAGCATCACCTCCAGTACAGCTTTGTTGCCATCAGATCATACACGTGTTTTTCCCTTATCAGTCAGTCATCCCCTTTCTCAGTTTAAAAGGAATTTTGGCTTACCTTTAGATATGAATGCCTCTCGGTTGAGTAAAGCCAAGGAAGTAGGAGCTGATTTCATTCTCCAGATCAACAAGGAGAGTCCTAAGGAAATTGCCAGTAAAGTGGAAAAACTTCTGGGGTCCAAGCCGGAAGTCACCATCGAGTGCACAGGGGCAGAGTCCTCCATCCAGACGGGGATCTATGTGAGTGGACTGCAGGCGCTGAGCTGGGGGGCGGCTTCAGGCAATAAAGAGAGCAGAAGTAAGGAGACTCGTTTTCAAGCTTCTCTACTAATTTGCTGTGTGACACCTCCCCCTCCCCCAAGCAGTACTCTCCATAGTTTGTCTTCTTTTTCTTGGACAATATTGAGGTTTGAACTCAAGGCCTCATGCCTGCCAGACAGTCAAGTCTACAATTAGCCTACATCCTGCTCCTAAAATTTTGTGTGTTTTTTTTTTTCCCCCTCAGTCCTAGGCTTGAACTCAGGGCCTGAGCACTGTCCCTGAGCCTCTTTGTGTTCAAGACTAGCATTCTACCACTAAAGCCACAGCAACACTTCTGGCCTTTTCTGAGTAGTTTATTGGAGATAAAGGTCTCACAACTTTTCTGCCAGGGCTGGCTTCAAACTGCAATCATCAGATCTCAGCCTCCTGAATAGCTAGGATTAGAGTTGTGAGCCACTGGCACCCAGCTCAAAATTCTGTTGTTGTTTTTTTTTTAATCTCTAACGTGGACATGGTAGCATTTGCTTTACTATTAGCAGGAGGAACAGAAGTCATACCTTAGTCCAGTGGGAAATTCCTGGATTATTTTACTGAGGAAAATTGTAATGTTTGAGCCATTGCTATTGGGCAAAAGTCAATTCAGTTCATCACAAAGATGAAGTGATTTCTTGGGGTCAAAGTTGTCTCCTATTGTGCTGTCACCTAGAACTAGAAACTGATAAGTTGCCAATGCCTGATTTACTGTAAATCAGGGGTCCCACCCATCAGCAATTTATGGGAAATGGACAAGGAGTTGGGGTGGAGAGTTGCATCAACAGATCAAAGTACAAGGAAAAGAGGGAAAAGGATAACTTCTAGGTTCCCAGAACTACTGTATAATGTGAGGGACCTGTGTTCATTGCTTTCTATAGCATGATGTCTAATCTGCACAAGTCAGGTACCACACTGTTTTGTTTTGTTTTTTTGGTTAGTCATGGGACCTGAACTCTAGGCCTAGGCACTGTCCCTGAGCTCTTCAGCTCAAGGCTAGCGCTCTACCACTTGAGCCACAGCACCACTTCCTGCTTTTTTCTTTTTGCTTATGTGGTGCTGAGGAATCGAACCCAGGGCCTAATGCATGCAAGGCAAGCACTCCACCACTGAGCCACCTTCCCAGCCCCTCAGGCACCACACTGAGAGTTACATTGCTGACCTAGCTTCAAGCTCTATAAAGTCTTATAGTCATCAGCTATAGTCAGTGCCTGAGCTTTTCACAATGTTCTCGCGTGGCTCCAGAAACAAAAGGAAGCAACTGTGATCACACGGAAAGAGCTGAGCTAAGGAAGGCAGCTGGCCAGGAACTGTCCCTGCCTCCCAGACTGCTGCCTCACAGGAGCACGGGCTTCCAGCCGGTCCACACATAGGACACTGCAGTGTGAAAAGTATTGATCAGGCTAACCCCTCTGGTGGTGGCACATCCTCGAGCCTGGTACAGCTGCCTAGTCCTCCTCCTATCAAGATTCCTGGTGGCTTTGGGAACACAGGGAGTAGCCCCAGGGACCAGCAGGTGTCACTTAGCCCTGTCCTGAGTTTCATCTGGAGTCAGCCAGCCCTTTGCTCTACTGTCATAGACCAGTTGCCGTGTGGGAAGGGGCAAGAAGAAATCAAAACCTCAGAAGGGATGATGGGTCCATGTGTGATAGGTCTACTACACCTTAGGTACTTGCTGAATGCAAGTACTCGGTATTAGGCATCTTGAGGGCAATAGCAGCAGGGACGGTTTATCTACTGTCTGAAGCGGATGGCAGGTCAGTGGTTGCCCAGTACAGAGGCACACTGGGACAGCTGAGGGACTTAGGGCACATCTTTCTTTGCTCGTCTGCTCTGACATGAGTGCCTTTGGGAACAGATGTTTCTTCCAGTTGTTGATGGTAGAAGTCCAGTGGCAGGGGACCAACCTGAGATGGGCAGGGAGAGGAATGAGAGCCAGGGGCTTCAGCAGCTTGAAATGGCATCTCTCCTGAGTAGCAAGTGGAGCCTTCAGCAGCTCATACACACATATCTGAGCATCTTGTTTCTGCCCCATGCTCAATGGATGTTGTTTGTGAGATGCTCCTTGGCACAGAGGACTGATCACCTCCTTGGTGTACTAGTGGTCAGATAGTCTTGAGCAATGCTGGGCATGTGGTCAAAAGCTGTTAAAACTCCTGGCCGTTTGGCATGGCTGACTGTGGGTGAGTAACTGCAAATGGTTGGAAGATCGTTTTTCTGGAAAATTTTTCAGTCACGAGTTTTCTATGCACTAGGTACCTAGAAAGACAGGTTCACGCCTGTCATCATTGCTACTCAGAGCTGAGATCTGAGGATTGTGGTTCAAAGCCAGACTAGGCATGGAAGTCTTTGAGAATCTTATCTCCAATTAGCCATCAATAAACCGAAACAGAGCTGTGATTCAAGTGGCAGAGTGTCAACCTTGAACAAAAAAGCCTAGTTAAATCCCTAGTACCAGTACAAAAAAAAAAGTTTTCTTTAGCTCAACTCACAACTTTGACCCTTCTCTCCCATTTACCCAAAAGGACCGCAATATCTGTGACTGCGCGTCAGCAAAAATATAAAACAGCCAAACTCCCAGTCCAACTACTATGACTGTTACACACCAGAGACTAGCCTAGAGGCAAGCCCAGGGTCCCGCAGCTCAACACCGGGAGTCACCCCTACTTGGCTCTAGACCCATGCTCTGCCTCTGGCTCCCAGCACTGCAAAATCCTCTCCATACGTCATTGAGAATGGGTCTGCGTCACTTATCTTTTTTATAGCTCTACCCTTTTTTCCCCTAGTCCTAGGGCTTGAACTCAGGGCCTGGGCACTGTCTTTGGCTCAAGACTAGCACTCTAGGGCTGGGAAGGTGGCTCAGTGGTAGAATACTTGCCTTGCATGCATGAGGCCCTGGGGTTCGATTCCTCAGCACCAAATACGCAGAAAAAGCCATAAGTGGTGCTATGGCTCAAGTGGTAGAGCACTAGCCTTGAGCTGAAGAGCTGAGGGACAACGCCCAGACCCAGAGTTCAGGCCCCACGACCGGACCCCCCACCCCCAAAAAAAAAAAATAAAACTAGCACTCTACCACTTGAGCCTCAGCAGCACTTTTAGCTTTTTTTTTCTCCTTCTTGGTACTGAGGAATCAAACCCAGGGCTCATGCATCTAGACAAGCACTCTACCACTGAGCCACCTTCCCAGCCAGCTCTACTCTTTTGGTTGTTGGTCGTGGGACTTAAAGGCAGGGCCAGGGCAATTTTGCACTCAAGGCTAGCCCTCTACCACTTTGAGCTACTGAGCCACTTCTGGATTTCTGGTGGTTAATTGAGGGACTTTCCTGCCTAGGCTGGTTTGGAACTGCAATCCTCAGATCTCAGCCTTCTGAGTAGCTAGGATTACAGACATGAGCCACAGTGCCTAGCCAGGAAGTCATTTTTACAACCACAGAATTCCAGGAGCCCAGCTGTTTGGGTGCAGTTTTTTCCCTGCTGGTGAGCTCAGAAGGTGGCTACTGAGGGGCCTGTTGAAGTCCTGCCAGGATATGGACGTGGCTAATGCCAATATCTACTATTGAGGTTATTTACTTATTTATTTTTGTGGTACTGGTGCTTTAAATTCAAGGCCTCAGGCTTGCTAGGCAGGTACTCATCTTTTGAGCCATACCTCCAGCCCTCTGGTACTGAATTTTTTTTTTTTGGGGGGGGGGAGGGTCTGGTTGTGGGCCTGGGCGCTGTCCCTCAGCTCTTCAGCTCAAGGCTAACGCTCTACCACTTGAGCCACAGTGCCACTTTCGGCTTTTTTCTTTTTGCTTATATGGTGCTGAGGAATCGAACCCAGGGCCTCATGCATGCAAGGCAAGTACTCTACCACTGAGCCACCTTCCCAGCCCACTGAATTTTTAAGGCTCTGAAAGATATACCTGGTTCTTCTCCATTGGTCAAATATGTTGTTTCAGGGCCTACAAAGCTGATATTTACTATGTTGCTCTGACAAGTTTGATAGGCATGTTGAAGATTTCAGGAATAGAATGAGAATCAAACCCTCTCGAACTTTTCGCATGCACACCAGATGCAGGCAGAAGACATCTGTGTGACATTGCAGGTCTCAGTGAAAGTCTGTGTTTTCTTTTCAACTGGGTCTTCTTGCTTCTATGATTCTTCTGCAGGCCACTATCTCTGGTGGAACCCTGGTGCTTGTGGGAATGGGTGCTGAGATGGTGTCTGTACCCCTAGTGCATGCAGCCGCCCGGGAGGTGGATATCAAGGGTGTATTTCGATACTGCAACACGTGAGTATGCTGTGGGTGAGCCGGGGTGGCCAGCCGCCAATCAGTCCAGGGCAGGCCCACACAGCCTCTGAGACTATGAGTCTCTGCCTGTTTATTCATGAGGGGCACTCCCTGGCCACACTGACAGCCATGTGATATGATAGTGCTCCAAAGAGAGAACATGTACTTCTTTCCCTGATGGAGAGACAGGGAGGGGAAATTTGAGGCATGCACTACTGGCTGTTTGCTGCTGTTACCCAGGTTCCCTCCACTGTGGCTCACACCTGTAATCTTAGCTACTCAGAAGGCTGAGATCTGAGGATCACAGTTCAAAGTCAGCCTAGGCAGAAAAGACTGTGAGACACTTACCTCCAAATAAGCGCCAAAATCCAGTAGTGGAGCTGTGGCTCAACTAGTAAAGTACTAGCCTTGACCAAAAACCTCAGGAACATCACCAAGGCCCTGAGGTCAAGCCCCAGGGCTAGCTAAATAAATTCAATTTAAAATTTAAAGAAGAGCACTGGGAAGGTGGCTCAGTAGTAGAGTGCTTGCCTTGCATGCATGAGGCCCTGGGTTCGATTCCTCAGCACCACATAATCAGAAAAAAGCCAGAAGTGGTGCTGTGGCTCAAGTGGTAGAGCGTGCTCGCCTTGAACTGAAGAGCTGAGGGACAGCCTCCAAGCCCAGAGTTCAAGCCTCACAACCGACAAAAAAAAAAAAAATAATAATAATAAAGGAGAAGGAGGACAAGTCCAAGAAATCAAGTCCTTTGGCTCACACTTGTGAATCCCAGGTTCCATTTTGGAGAATAGAGTCTTATTTATCCCACCCACATCCTATATACTACTTTGTTATCTCCTAGAGCCCTCTATCTGGGACATCTTTCCCAGCTTAAGGGTCTGTAAGTCCAGTTCCTCAATAGAGCATCTGTTTTCTAGTAAACTTTGCCAAGCTGAGCTGGTAGTGGATGTGACTGGATTATCCTAACTGCCTTTTCACAGAGGCTTCTGTAGGATACATATCATCTTCATGCCAATGCAATCCTATGCTTCATGATGAACCTTGTAAAATGAAGGGATGGGGTATGGGCCACGGGGCAATTAGAAATGGTTCCTACACCTGCGAGCGATTAGGTGCTTTCCTCAAGCAACAGTGTATAAAATTTGCCTTAGAGAAGCACAGTGCTAAAAATCAATGTGGCCAAGGTGTTTTGGTGCTCGGTACTTTCCGGGGACCTGTCTCTTCCTGAAGTTTCAGTATAATGCTTGTGATCTCTTACAGGTGGCCAATGGCAATTTCAATGCTTGCATCCAAGACTATAAACGTGAAGCCCTTAGTCACACATAGGTTTCCTCTGGAGAAAGCCATGGAGGCCTTTGAAACATCCAAACAGGGAGTGGGGCTGAAAGTCATGATCAAGTGTGACCCTAATGACCAGGATCCCTGATGTGAACTGGGCGGTGCCCCCTTCCTACCCTTTCAGCATCTCAGGGCTAAACAGCTGAGCAGGGTGGGCCTCGTGACAAACTTTTTTTTTTCTGAATGACAAGAATAATTAATGTAATTCATTAAGCACAGAGCCTTACAGAGGAGTTGGTGTGCCTTGAAAATGCAAATAGGTAGAGTTTGGAGACCTTGTACCCAGAATGACCTGCTTGTGCTAAGCCAAGTCCTGCACATAGAGCTATGTCTGGCAGCCAAGGGTTAGGACCTGCCCTTCTTCTCTTCTTTGGGTGGGGACAGAAATTCTGCCCTTGTGTTTCTGGTACCACCATGACTGCCAGGGAATGGGCAGCCCTGAGGCTGAATGCCTTGCAAAGTGTCTAACCATCTTTCTCCTACTCCTAACTCTACCTGAAGCATGGCCTCTACTGCTAGTCAACTTGGAGACCTTCAATGCTTCCTGACTAGCCCAAAAGAGCTTGGTCAACTACCTGAGGATTTGATATCCCCACCCTAACCCCTCCTAGGCTCCCTCAGTTAATAGACAATTCTATTCGATTCTGGTCATTGTAAGTGGAGGAAAAATGGTCCCTCTGATCACTGCAGTTGAGGCTCTTGGTATCTTCCTGTCTTTTGGAAGAGTATCTCTAAACTTACCCTATTTTAATCTTGGGTTGTTACTTTTTTCCTGTATAACATTTTAAAAGGCCAATCACACCCTTGGTGATTTTTGAGATTAATAATCAAGAATGAGGATATAGTAGCTGTGACGGAACTTGGGCTATAGCCTTTAATTCCTTACTTCAGATGTGGGCAGAGGGTTTATATGGGGAAACAGCATGGCCAGTGCCTAAAATTCATCAAACTGCTTTGGGCAATAAATTCTCTGCTTCTGGTATCTGACTACAGCTGTTGTTTGTGTCCGTTTGTGGAGGAGTGGACTTAGGTTATCTGCTTCACAGAAGGAAGAATCCCAGGACTTTACCGAGTATACATTGTGCACTAGATAGGATTTTCATTAACTGCTGGAAATCTACACAAATCATTCAATCCACACAGCAAGCCAAACTCATTATGATAGTCTGCAGGTAACAAAGTAATTTGATCAAGGCCATATACTGCTTTTCTCTCACCCCTGGAAGGATAGGGTCAGGAGACATCTGTCTCTGCACACTCTCAGTAGCCAGGTAGCCCAGCCCACCTGGTCCTTCCTTCTCTTAGTTCTATTTAGTTAGGACCACACTTGGCACCTGCCTTCTCTTTAATCCACTTCCACAGCCAAGGTTCCTTTAGCAGTTAAGAGGCCTGGTCTTCAAAGCCAAGATCCTGATAACTTCCATTTTCTAGTCCCAGATGCCAGTGTGTGACTATGAAGTGAATGGGCAGATCAAAAGTAGTCCAGAGCTAGGAATAGTGGTCACACCTGTAACTCCAGCACTTGAAGGGCTTAGGCAGGAGAACGACAAGTTTGAGGACATCCTGGACTTCACGGCAAGACCCTGTCTCAAAAACACACCAAATAGCCAGGTGCTGGTGGCTCACACCTCTAATCCTAGCTACTCGGGAGGCTGAGATCTGAGGATCCCACTTCAAAGCCAGCCCAGGCATTCCCTACCACCGCCTCCACAAGGTGCTCAATCAGTGTTGATTGACTCAGTGAATCAGTCCCGGAACAAGAATATGAATTCCCCGCGAGTTCCCCAACCTTGGGAGGCCTGGCAGCCTCTGTGTGCTCTGTCACCAGGCACTGGTTCACTTTCTGTCAACACTGAGGACCCCACCCAGCCGGCACTCCCAGCACTGAATCGAGTGGGGGTGTAAGGGTGGAGAGCAGGGAAGGACCCTACATGCAACCTTGAAGGTGAAAAGGGGAGGATTACCTCATGCCCCCCCTCTGCCCCCCCTCGCCCCCATCCCAAGAAGGAAGGAGTGCACTGACTCCAGCAACAGCTCCCACCCTGTGGTCATGGCAAATGCTGGTGTGAGATCATTTCTGGACACACTCCCTGAATCTGAGCCATCTTTCCTCTTTTCTCTCGGTTCCCTGTTTTACATAAAGGGAGCCTTATTGAAGCCAGAGGTCAGGCTCAGGATCAGGGAGATGCCAGGATGAGTGGAGTATTTGCCCTTCTCCAGAACTGACGCAGGCTCATGGTATCAGTAGGTCCAGTACAGAGGCCAAACAACAGGCAACGCCTGCCCAGTTCTGAACATCAGGCTGGGGACTGAAGCTGGGTGAGGTGTCGTTACAGGTTACAGATGGTGACTGATATGTACTCTGGGTGACGGGTCTACAGCATCTCCATCTTCCTTACTACATACTGCAAACCATTCAAATAGGATGGAGAAGGGGCAGCAATAGTGCAGTGGCTTGGCCAAGGAGCTCATGGCTCATGGGAAGCACCTTCCAGACATCAGTAGATGGTCTCTGACACAGTAGCATCCAACCCTGGCTTACCTATGCTCTGAAAGCCCTGGCTAAGTCAGATACTCTGCTCCTTCCCGGGGCACCTAAAAGTGGGTACAGGTATGAGGATGATGTTACCTCCAAGAGATTATTCAATGCATCAAGGAGGAGCTGGTTGAAGACTGTGTCCTCAAGAGCGCAGCCTCTGAGAGGTAGCAAGTTTTAAAAGATTTAATTCAAGTATTCCTGGGTTCTGTCTAATCTTGGGCACTTCCATCAGTCTGTTTCCTCCTATGCTACCAGCAGGGTTGTACTAGACTATCTTAAGGTCTCTTCAGGCACTGATACCGTATATGTCTCCATCGCCCAGAGGGCCTGGGGCGTGAGGAGGCCTTAGGACTGACTGACAGGGGCATTCTCAAGTTCCACTTCTAGTCTTGTCTCCATGGCTAGAGTGAAGGGTCGGGGGAGGGCTGCCTGTGAAAACACTCTTGGCTTCAGGCTCCTAGGTGTGTTGTCTGAAGGGTCTACACAGCCCAGATGTAGGCTCTGGCAGGTCAGACTCATCGCTGACTTCACTATTGTGGCAACTAACTGGCCTTCTTGTGCTCCATAATAGAAGCCTGCTAGGGGCAGAGGGTAGGAAAAAGGTGGGCCTTCAGGTAGGTGGGTTTGTACTAGGCCTGTCACCTCTGAGGCATGATGGAGGAACAGATCCCTCACGCCAGCCCAAGCTGGCCGACAGGCTGCTAGCTGCTTAGCCCATCCAGTGCCTACGGCCTTTCCCTTAGGCCTCTTCACAACTCCTTCCTGGTTACAATCCCAAGGCACTTCAAATCAGCTGTTTACTGAGCCCTCATCACCAGGAGATACCATAATCCCTTTTCACACAAGTTGGTGCATTGTAAGAAAATAAAGGCAGAAAAATAAAAAAGAGAAAGTCAGTATAATCCATTTGCTAAAGATGTTAAGCTACTGAGGTGCCGGGCATGAATCCTGTGAATCACAGGAAGAAAGATGCCGGAGTACTCTCTTCCAGCTTTTCCCTTGACAATCTCTTTACATGTAAAACATGTATATATATTCATAAGTATAATGACAGCATTGACTTTTTTCCATTTTCACTCATAACTTTAAAAAAACACTTATTAAATGATTCTCATCATTATATCCACCAGATTAACAATGATGTCTTTATATCATACACTAATCAATTTTCCCTAATTATCTTAGGTCCCACTACTTTGGCTTAAATGTCATCATTCTAACATATACACAAATACACACACAAATACACATGCACACATACACACATACATACATACACACCTATACATTGTGTTACTGGGGATTGAATGCAGGGTCTCACACTTGCTAGATAAGTTTTCTATCATTTGGGCTACTACACCAGCCCTTTTATTTACTTGTTTATTTTGTTGTTTTCTAACTTTGCCCTGGGTGGACTTGGATTCACAAGCCTCCTGTCATTGCCTCTTGAGTGACAGAACTCAGACATGTGCTTGTTACATTTTAGAATGAAAATAACTGGGTTGGAGACTACATATCTTTCTGTACCTTCCTTCCCCCTCCTTCTCTTTCCTTCCTTCTTTGCTAGGGATGGAACCTAGGGCCTTTGTGCTTGTTAGGCAAGCACTCTACCACTGAGCCACACCTCAAGCCTTGAGTAGACCTGGCAGACAAGAAATTAAAGTACTGAGGCTGGGAAAGTGGCTCAGTGGTAGAGTGCTTTGCCTTGCATGCATGAGGCCCTGGGTTCGATTCCTCAGCACCACATAAGCAGAAAAAGCCAGAAGTGATACTATGTCTGCTAGCTGAAGGACAATGCCCAGACCCAGAGTTCAGGCCCTACGACTGACCAAATTAAAAAGAAAAAAGAAATTAGAGTATTGACACTGAGAACAATGAACTCTGGAGATCCCCCTCCCAGGCCATGTACATGTGGAAGAACTTGGATCTAAAGGAGTACTCAGGGGCTGCTGAGGATCTAAAGGAGTACTCAGGGGCTGCTGAGGATAGAACCCCAGTGGTTGTAGAGGGTTCCTTTGCAGCTCTGGACTGTCTTAAGTTGGTATAAATCTGGATGGCTTAGAATGAGTTGGATGAGCTATTAATGCAAATCTTGGATCCTCAGGTCCCAAGAAGCTTGGCAATTTATAGGACCCTTGAGGGACTCAGATTCAAATACAATTGTCGCTTTACTATTTTATTTTCGTACCACATATAATATACATTTAATGGCATGGTTACCTATCTTAACAATGTAGATTTTTCAAGATTTGCTCTCAGAATCCCCAAAGTGAATCATTTCCCTGGTCACCCACTACGTGATGGAATGGGATGGGGCTACCAACAAACAGTACTTATCAGGGACTAATTTGGAAGAATTTCTTGGAAGAACTGTTATCAGTAATTGGGAAGTCAACAAGTTATCAGACAGAAAGTGAAAGAGGAAGGTGGTTGAGGAAAAAACTGAGCAACAAAGAACCACTAATCCAAGGTAGTGAGAAGAATGTGACTCAGCACTGGCCTAGGCTTTCAAAGAAACACAGGAACAGACAAGCTCCAGCCAGACCCCCGCCCACTCGGCCATCCCTAACCTTACCACACCCTAACTTCCACACTTAGACACCCAACTAAACCAGGATGCCAGAAAGCTTTGTTTTTCCCCAAGCAGAGGTTGGCTGCCATTGACTTACATCTTCTCATGGGCCATAGGGCAACATGGGGAAAAGACGCCCATGTACTAATTCAGAAGAGAAGGTCAGGAAAGAAGCCAGTGGATGTCTTGGGTTCTATTCTATGCATAGAAAGAATGAAGAATTCAATTACTCGATTGACTCAAAACCTTGAACACCTCAAGTGACTTCTTCAAAGGCTTGAGTTTCCTCATCTTTTTTTGTTTACAGTGCCAGTACTTGAAATCAGGGCCTCATGGACCTTCTCCCTGAGTTGTTTTCTGATGTTGATGATGATGTTGCTTGTTTTGTGCCTGTTCTGGGGGCTTGAACTCAGGGCCTGGGTATTGACCCTTAGCTAACACTGGGCCACTGGAGCCACAGTTCTACTTCTGACATTTTGGTGGCTGAGATTAAGCAATCAATCAATCAATGTTTCACAGACTTTCTTGCCCGGCCTAGCTTTGAACCAGGCTTTTCAGCTCTTACCCTCCTGAGTAGTGGCTGGAATTGCAGGCAAGAGCCAGCAGTGAGCGCCTGCATTTCCTCATCTCTTCAATGGGAGAAATCACACCTACCTCAGGGTCACCACAGGGATGGACGGAGCCATCCAGAAGTTCTGGGCAGGATGAATGGGTGCTCGCAACAGACCTTCTCTCTTCGGCTCTTACACGAGCAGTGTGGCCCATTCCTCTAGTTCCGAGGCCTCACGCTGCAAAGGTGCCTGCCACCTTTGGAAATGGGCAGCGGGCACGAAGGCCAACATGGCAGGCGGGAAAACAGCGACGCAGCACAAAAAC